TCCCCCGCAACCCTACATGGACAAGCGGGTTCAGACGATGGATGGATGTTTTCTCCCCTTTTTCCTAAATTAGCATCATTTCTTTAGGTTTTTCTTGCAGGGATCAATGCAAGATGCAGTTTCGTCTGAAAATAAAATCTCTATAGCCTTTAAAGTCTCATCTGGAACAGTTAATGTTGTGTTCACAGCTAAAATGTCTTCCAGTTATTGTGATGCTCCTTAGCAAAAGCTGCCCTAATAATAAAAAGATCTTTGTTAAAATAAGATAAGATGTGACTTTGCAACTATTGCAACTAAATGTTTTCCTTCTTCACTTGCATCATGTTATTAAAATCAAAGAATATGTATGGACTATATACTGCAGGCTTTTGCTATACTTGGTGTTTCTTAATGCTCAAACTCATTGATGGCAAAAAAAAGTCTATTCAGTCCACAGCTTTGATGTTCTTGCATGGTCACTGATCAATAACTCTATTTGTTTCAGCCAAAAACAAACCAACTACTTACTGGCATAACATAAATGCATACAAACACCCAATTTACTGCATTTTCTAAGGTCAACAACTCAAGTCCATCAACATCGTTTGTTTTTCAGCTTACAGATGCTCCTCAGCTGTATATTCTGCTGTTTGACGGGTTTGTTTTATAGTTGTTGTTCTGTGTTAATCAAACCGACAAACTGTCACTGCGGCCTCAAAGAGGAATTAATTGTCAGGTACTTAACAGTCCCAACCTCCAGTGCACATGTCGTCAGCCGTAGGTAGATTCAGAGGTTTGCATTCCACCAACAATTTGATTCTCATTTTCAACATCTCCTCTTGTGTTGTTTATCTCTGAACATGCCGCCTTTTATCTTTCTCCTCTGCTGTTTTGTGTTGTTCTGATGCTCCCTGCCTCCTCTGTGTTCTCTCAGGGAACCAGCTGGGAAATGGCCTTGGGATACAAGCTAGAAGCACACAACCATATGTTGGATACTTTCATGCAAGGTGTGTGTGTGTGTGTGTGTGTGTGTGTGTGTGTGTGTGTGTGTGTGTGTGGTAAAAAGCAGAGAAAAGGGGAGATCTCTGAGTTGTTGCTGAACTGCAATAGAGTGTAATAGTTAAGTAGGACATTTATCTGGCGATGGTTTGTCCTCCCTTGTTGTGCTTGGGTGGGAGTTTCTGAGTTGTCTCACTGTCCTACAGCTAAATGCCTTCAACAGAGAAATTCTGTTGACTTCAAATACCCACTCTCTCTCTCTCTCTCTCTCTCTCACACACACACACACACACGCACGCACGCACACGCGTGCATACATACGTAGTTTATAACTGTACAGGCAGACTGCTGAGAGGGACTGCGAGAGACACTGACCCAGTTGCTCATTAGACAGTTTCTTCTTGGACTGGGGCCAAAGATCTGCTGGACACTACTTGCTGAAGAACAGACATACAACTCGCTGATCTGTGGAAATGTTGAAAAGCTACACACGAGGCTGTGGCATCATCATTATTTACTGTACTCGTGTCACACTTGGTTCACCACTGTGAAGAAACAACCTGGTCAAAGGGTTTGCAGCCACAGCGAGGACTCGTCATCAAGCTTAGATTTGACATTTCAGTCCTGTCAGATTTTTAAAAAACATAAATATGTGATTTAAAATTTCTTTCTTGTTTCAACTTGTGTGCTTTTGACAAGTTATCTGAGATGTTTCTACTTCCTCCCCCAGAGTCATACCATTCTATTTTCTTTACTGTTTCATCACACTCAATTAAGAAATATTACCTTGGAAGATAATTTAGCACTAATATAAATTCATGACACTTAAAGTCAACAGTGTAGCCACTAACATGTAGCACCGTGAGTGTTTTTTTAATAATAAGTGCACAAAAACACATTTACAACAAAATGAAGAAAACAATGTAAAATACAATATTTAAGAGTTATCTTCTTATTGAAGCAAATCTTTGTAGCAAAAAATAAATTAACCGCCCCCCTCCAAAAAAAAATTCAAAGAAATATGGAGATGTCTGAAGAAAAGGCATAACACTATTACAATGCATTAACATTACATCAATATTATTAGAATTATTGTGTTATTTCTGTCATTGATTTAGATTGCACTAAAGACCTTATTGCCTCAAATCAGAAAATACAAAAGGGGAACAATTTCATTGCTTTTTCTGTACCAAAAACACAAATGACGAATATCCAGCTGTGAGAGAAATATCGCAAAAAAGCTCAAGATAAAGTCCCGTTAGTCGTCATCACACACTGGTGAAATTAAATCTCCGTAACTGATGTATCCCCGTGGTGAGCTACAGCAGAGGCTGCGCTCGGGAACTACCTATCCCCCCAATTCAATCTCTGAGCATCAAACTGGGAGGCACTGGGTCCCATTTTTAAAGTCTTTTGTATGACTTGACCAGGATTTGAATCCATGATCTCCCAGTCCCTGAGCAGACACTCATACCACTAGACCACTGAGACAGTAAATTACTGTATATCTATTTAGAAACTGACAAAGAGAAAATAATTAAAATAAATCGTAAGATCTGAATGTTTTTATGTCTGGGTTCACAGCATCGTTTTAAGGACTGATTCCAGGTTTAAGGGTCCTGTAGTGTCTAAGATCAATTGAATAAAAAATAAATAAATACAAATCAGCTGACAAAGCTCTTTAGATATATAGTTCCTCTGGTGAAAACTGGACTCAGCGTTATTCAAGTATCTTACTATATAAAGTCAGGACCACTGTTTGCCAGCTGAGGCTCATTAGATGTTCCCATTTGCTGGAGGACAGCAACCTCAAAAGTGGAAGTAAATCTGCCAGAGAATGACCTCCAATAAAGAAATTTGCTTTTTGCAATGGCCCTGGAATAATCTCAAGAGAGCAGAAATAAATATAAGCAGAAACAGTTCCACAAAATAAAGTGTTTAGCTTTGATCCTGAACAGTGTGCAGGTCTGGTCTAGAGCTGAAGTGTTATTGTGTCGTGTTTTATTTTCTTTCTTTTATTTTCCTTTTATTTTATATTAATTCACAAACACCAAAAAATGTGCTTTACAAATGACCCAGAAACAAAATATTGCATGTGTTTTGAGGTGAAATTCCAGTGTTGATCTACATAAAATCCTTTTTTCTTTCAAACCAGAGGGTTCACACAACTGTTCTGCTTTTATCAACGAGAAGTGCTAAGACAACCAGAGTGATTTTGGTGCATTTTTAAAACACGCCATGCTGGCCCTTTGTCACACCCGTCCACATGTTTACGTACACGCGTTTTTAGCCCCTAAAGGTACGAGTAAAGGACCAGCCTCTATTTCTCATTAACCTACTGGTTGGATAAATCAAAGTGCAGGGCAGACAGGAGACCCTCAGCCTTGGCCATTCAGATAACAAGACCACCCTACACCATTCATGGCCTACAGCTCAGTGATATATGGATCTGTAGAGGCTAATAGCAAAGTATTGACAGGGAAATGGTGTGCTTATCCTGCTCCTGCATGCTGGGGAGAGGTCCCCAAAGCAGATGGGATACACATCAGGGAGAGGGAACGAGGAGGAGGAGGGCGGACGGATGAGATAGAACTGTACTGGGACAAATTAGATTCTTTATTGCTTTATTTCAGCTAATTTGTTTCTGGGCTCTAGTCTAAAAAATACTTAGTTCTGGTTTATGTAAATGTGAAGAGGGTGAGGTGAGCGTAGTTTATAAATGCCCTCACCCGCCCGACAACCAGTGAAGGTTAATGTCACACAAGTATCGATACATAAGAATTTAGTTTTATTTCATCCCAGAGGATGTGCTTGAAGCTCAAAATAAGATGAAAATTATGTTTATTTATGTTGTAAATAAAGACCTAATGTGTGCTTAATTAAGATTTCAGAGCAGGCAGTTGTGATACTATAAATGAGCAAGCTTGAACATCCATGTATCCTTCATATGTGCACGAAAGCTACAAAAATACAACCCACATCATCTACAGCCAACAATGTTTCTCTAATAAGAACCAATAGATCACGACACGGTCTTCTCCCAGTGGAGGAGCCTTTAATGCAGGAGTCATTAGGTTATCGCTCTGAGCTGCATCTCCTTCTTAGTGCCATCTTTATCAAATACAAGCAATTCTTCCTCTGATGTGGCTGTGAGTTCAGAAGATGGGGCCTAATGGCCACACTTCATCACCATCTCACAACGGATGTGAAGAGAAACGGCATCATCTAATGTCAGAGGGAGATGCTGATTCTGTAAGGTTACAAGCCTGTTGGGTGTAATTCAGTTAAAGCCTTGAATTAACACACCCTGAACTGGTTTAGAGATCATTCCAGTCGGCTGAGTTTGGAAACTGCCCGAGTGCCAAAAACAAACACAAAGAAAAGAGAAAGCTAAACGAGTTGAATTCCAGATAACGTGACAAGTTTACGATGACTTTTCTTAGAAGAGGGACAAAAATAAACTTTTTTGGGAGTTTTACCTAGAGGCACCAAGCCTCTCTTTATAGCTGCAAGAGGACACAGTGTGCACAAAACAATCAGTGAATGAGGGATAAATGTGAGTTACACTTTCTTCAACAGCACAGATTTACTTTACGGTCAGGTGGTGGCAAATGCACAAAAGAGAAAATGTTTGACTGCAAAAATAAATGTGCTTCTTGTGCAACGTGTGCTTACACGGCCATAAAAGCTAAAAGCTGTCTGAGCTTTTATGAAAAAAGCAGAATGCTGATAACAAAAACCAGTAACTTCTGTCAAATCTGGAACTTTTAGAACAGCATCTGCATCAGTGAGGGCAAAAACAAAGAGCCACCTCGCCCTGCTTCTCTGAAGGAGGTCACGTTTACATCTGGATACCAAGTACTGTTGCGGGTCCTGTCCATGACCACGATTACCCACTTGACATCTTTATAGTTCCATGGCAGAGATCCTCCACGGCAGAACCAGACACAGAAAAGCACGAGTGCCAAAGTGGCCCCTCTGTGTCAGTGTGGGACATCAGAGTTTTGTGCTGAAATAATTACCCTGCTTAGCAGCCATCTGGGCTCTAGTTGCTGCTGTGTGGCACGAGCCAGGTGCTTCCAGGGTGGTACTACAGAGAGACATGCAGCAGATGCTTGTGGGTAGATCTGCCCGACCTGGCACAGATCTGCAGAAAGTACAGCAGGGAAAGCAGAGCGGCTGGTTTAAGGACAGCTTCACTGTAATGCTGATGTTGAAGGAGCTGAAAGCAGCAAATATAAACGAAGTTTAGAGGAAACTTTCTCTAAACGCAATATCTGCATTCTAACTCAACAAAAATCTCTGCAAGTGCATTCTGCTCTGACGCGAATCTGCGATAACTCCACTCCATCGGCCATAAAACGTGACTCAAACGATCAAGGCCCTTATCTGTGCAACACAGGTGCTGGTTAATTGCTGCCGTGCCCCTTTGCAGCTTAAAATCTGAAGAGGAATAAACATTTTTTTAGCAGTTCAGTAGGCCAGTAACTTGATAAGGCTCCTGGATTTACTCGATGAGGTCAGAAAGTTCCTGAGCAAGCAGCAGGCATGTGGTTGTTGTTCCCAGAGGGCTGGGAAACCATATCTGCCCTGGAGGAGCATCCTCTTTGGTAAGCACTTCTTATCGAGGCCATCACTGCAGGCCGATAGCAGCGGGGTAATATCCAGTAACTGCAGCTTTATGTGCGATCCAATACTTGGATCAATCTCTTGGACAGGATGGTTGCCATCAACCCCTGAGATTTCTCTCACTTTCTCTATTGTGCATCTTTCTTCTCCGGATGCTGTAGCAGGAATTTGGAAATCTCTTTTAAAAACAGAAAACTGTATTTTAAAAATAATCTGTAACAGGAATCTGCTTGGAATTTCACAGAAGATTTTAAACAAAGCGACTCATTTAATTACAAATAAAGTGATTTTTAAAGCTGGTGTGGATATGCTGCAGTGTGTCCTGATGGTGTGAGAGTACAGTCCGTTTGTTTTGGGGTTGAGATGACACAACTTTAGATTCCTGCCTCTGCTCGTGTGTGTTTGCATGCACGCTTGTGTTTGAGAAGGAGAGAGCAAGGGAGATATCGAGAGAGATGGTGTGAAGAGGAAAGAGACAGGAAGTTTGGGATTTTCGTTTGAAGCTGCTGATACTTTGTCCAGCACACTTTCCCATGTGACTGAGAGAAAGAAAGTTAGACTGAAGCCGAGACACACTGCTGCTCTGCAGAGCATCACTCATGCTGAATAACAATCCATAGTTACTGAGGTCAGTGCAACGAGCAGCAATTTTATCACGTAAAAATAAAACTAAACATCGTTATTTAAAAAAACCTAACAGTTAGTTTTTGGTTTCATCAAGTCAAATCAGTAACAAAGAAATAACACACCTTTAACAATTTACTTTATGTAAAATTGCCATCTAAATTGTAAAGTTTGTTTTTTCTCAAAATAGTTCAAACTTAATTAAAAGGTTTTAATTGTATAGAATAAAGAATAAAATATTGCTGTAATGACCTGCAGTAAATAAAACAAATGTATTCTAAATATTGTAGAAAGCTAAATTGATTCAATAATTTAAACATCAATTAAATCTATTACTGTTGTACATACATTTTATATGTTTTTCCTGTGATTTTTCTGCAGACAACAGGACTATTAGCAGTGTTGCTGAACATCTTTCTACAAACTAAGGAAAGCAGCAGACTAAAATAAAGACTCTCAGAGTGCTTTTTGTAGCAACAAACAGTCAGAAAAGCAACACAAAGTGAAATATCTTCTAAAATCTGTAGAGTTTAAGAGTTTAAGTCTCACTTACCTTCATTGTGTCCTTTTTTAAGGAGGGTCAAGACCCCAAAGCTTGATCAGAACAGGAAGGTTGAGTGCATCCTCTCGTTTCCACGCCAACATCAGAGGCCACAAGGCTGGCAGCATCACGGCCACGGCTGGCTGGTATCCGGTCTGCCGAAAGGACCGGCCAAGCGACCCAGCAGCAGAGTCGGAGGGGACAGGCACTCGGGGAGAGGAGCTGAGCTGGACTGGGCTCTGCTGGAAGGCTTTTTCGCCTCTCCTTGCCTGAATGAAAGCAATCCCTAAGAGTGAATGGGTAATGAGAGACTGGCTCCTGAGATTTTAGCTTTCTTAATCATGTTCATAATTAATTCAAGAACATTGATAATTTCATTACATTCTTTTTGTCTTATCAATAAATGATGTGCCTGCACTTTTGGTCTTGTGTATACGGCAGAGAGGGAGGAGGAGAGGGAGTGGGGGGTGAGAGAAGTAATACTGCACTAAAAGCACAGGAGATGGAAAATGATACAAACAGGGAAGTGGTAATTATAATCTTTGACCAAGCCACTGGAAGCACAATATGAAGTCAAGTGGGTACAAATAATTAATAAGGCCTCCTGGTGTGTGTGTGTGTGTGTGTGTGTGTGTGTGTGTGTGTGAGAGAGAGAGAGAGAGAGAGAGAGAGAGAGAGAGGTGGGGAGATGGGGGAGGAAGAGTGCTGACAAATGTCTCTGTTGGACATTATTTCATCAGTCCACTAAGTGGTTTTCACAAAAAAAGAGAGGCACAAAACAGTTGTGTGTTTTTCTGATGTTCACCACTTCCTCTTTTAGACAGCCTCTTCTTTAATCCTCGCCTTTAAATAGGGAGTGTAGAGGCTGGCCCTTCAGATCCAATGAGAGATCAGCTTTCAGAAACATTAGTGTTCTGCAGCAGATAAAAAAAAATTCTCAAAACACTGACATGCTCCTACTTGCCCTTCGCCCCCCTCCTCGAGCCCTGTGCCAGGTCAAGAGAGGAAAAGGAGCAGAGGTATTTTCTGGCTTGTGGCAAATATAGTTTCCAGTTATTTGGCAGCAAGAATAATGAGATAATATGCATTTTTAATAGATCTTTCTCAGAATATTCAATAACCCTTCACCTCTGTGCAGGCTTTGGGTTGGTGCTCTATCAATTGAACAGTCTATTTAAAACAGAGCTGAAAATAGAATGAGAGAGAGAAAGAGAACAAGGTGGCAGATCTAGAATTTTCCTCTATAGGGCCATCAGGGGGCCAAGTTTCGGTCCTTAAAGAAAAGGTAGAAACATTTCACCACCCAGTTCATGTGGAAAAACGTTAATACAATTTATTATGCATTGTTTACACACATGGACAAATTACAAAAATGAACAAAATTTGAGAAATTTCAGAATTTGAATTAATTTTTTTTGAAGTCACAAATAATAAAGTATATTTGTGTATAACCCCCCCAAAAAAGAATGAATTCTTATTTGGTTAATTAACACCACTAGTGTTTGGACCTGGAAATGCATCCACCCATGATCTGATCATCATACGAAGATGAGTGACAGGACAGGGGTTCTTCAGGGGACAATCCGATTTCAGCAGGAGCCAATGCCTCTGTTGCCCCGCCCCTTGAACCGCTAATAGAGTCTCCTTCCTTTCCTGTTGGCTCATGGGTCCCTGGAAGAACAAAAAATAATTGTGCAAGTGGGGCTAAAAGAGCTATGTTCTAATCCGCTTTGCCTTACGCCCTAAATCAGACATATGTTGTACTTTGAATTAAATTAGATTTAATATGTTTTTCGACAACGCCAGAAACGTCCTTTGAGATTTATCAGCTTATAAAGCATGACTACAATTCAGACGTCTCATCTCCCCTAGCATAGCTGCTACTTACCAAATAGCCACCATTATGGTGGTTCTTTCCTCCTGAAGGAAGGTTTCGAAGTTTGCTGAACTTACAGCCACTTTTCCTCATCTTTTCTATGTGTCTGGTTCAATGGCTTCAATGTGATGATGGACGTATTTTCACACAAAACCTAAAATAACATTCGCCCCCATTCAAAAATTAGCGCGCTCTTGGCATCAAAATGTGTCTCTAAAAATTGACGGACAGAAATCAAACAGGATTGTAAAATAGTGTAAAATAGTGTTATAAGCCCCACTGACTTGCATTCATTTTTTCGTTCTTCCTGGAACAAAATGAGAAGGGCGTGGCTTAGGCCCCCCACGCCTCTGCCTAACGGAAGTGAATGACTGATTCTTTTGTCCAAAATAAACACTGGACATCTTCTTCTGTTCTGAATCTACTGGTAAAAAAAAAATACAGTTTATTTATTTAATTTTTAAACATTTTGTTTAGGTTTCAGTCCCCATTGAAGCTTTTATAGGTGACCACAAAGTCCCTTGGTATTAATTTGTAACAAATTACCTTAAAAAGAGTTTTCTTAGCATAGTTTGGGGAAAATGTGATCACAAAAGAATTTCACAATTTTAAGGCTATATGCAATTTCTCTTTTTTTCCTAATGGATTTCCAGCCAGTGACACACTACAATATAGATTTGTAAAACTATATGAGACATTAGAGATTCAAGTACTTTATGTCCTATTTATTTCTTATGTGCCACAGGCCCCTCGTCTTGAGATATGACCGGCTCAACACAAGAAACCTTTAATAAAATAAAAAAGTAAAAAGGGGAAAATTGAGATTTACAGCAGGTCATTTTGACTGTAGACTTGATATAAGGTGTTCATAACAAGTTTTGCATTTTGTTCCTGGTCCCTTCACACACAATTTAATCATTTTTTATGTGATCTATGTATGCAGCACTCATCTGCTGTCTGTCACCCAGGCCCTCCAATGTGTCTCTCTTAAACAGATTGCTACAATACTTGTAATGATGGTCCTTCCCAGCTGTGCTGTAGGAGAGGGGTAGGGAGCAGCAGACTCTAGTATTACCATAATACCCGCTCCCTCCCTCTGCTGTCCCAAGGGTCCTTGTGTGGCTGCATGGGGACGTGGGGTAACTCTACTAACTGCTGTGGAGGGGACTCAACTGGCTGCTGGTCCTGGAGGCTTTGTGTGTGTGTGTGTGTGTGTGTGTGTGTGTGTGTGTGTGTGTGTTGTGTGTGTGTGTGTGTGTGTGTGTGTGTGTGTGTGTGTGTGTGTGTGTGTGTGTGTGTGTGTGTGTGTGTGTGTGTGTGTGTGTGAATGTGACAGGGCTGAACCTGCCTGTGGGCGATGTAATAAAAGCACCACACTCTGCTGGTAGTGATGGTGGCATGGCTGCTGTAGCTGCAGAGGAAGGGATAAATATAAAGCAGGCCTGCATCAAGGAGACGGCCCTCAAGCCACAGCTTGACTTACATCCTAATAATTAGGCTCTTTTCCAATAAAACAGGGATTTGTGGCTATGCATCTCTTTTACTTGTGTTTGCTACTGCAGAGGGAAAAATGTAAGATCTGCTGCAGTGAGGCAAGCACCTATAAGAATTAAATTGGACCCATTTTGTAATGAGATCAGCAGCCTTTGCCAAAATCTTCTTTTTTCAAGTCCAAACTTCAGAAAAATACCTGCAAAAAAATACCTCTGTAAATTTTACATTTTTCCCATTAAACATGTATTGTAAAGTAAACAATTCCATCTGATTTCCAGTTTATGCCTGAAGCACATTCTTTCTGCCATTCTCTTTAAATGGCACACAAACACATGGGGTTGCACACACTTATTGACTTTAACAGCGGCTATGATCAATAGTTGAGCCATGCAGGTTATTGTTGCTTGTTATTTTAAAACAATGTGTCCTACATATCTAAAGCTTGACACAACAATGACCCAAAATTTAGAATCTTTTAAAATGAAACATTTTATTGGCTAATGTCGATATTACTATCTTATTATTACCTATGATTAGTAATGCTCGATATTGGCTTCTTTACCGATATACCACTATCCGATATATCAACATACCAATTTTCGAAATACCGATGTAAACCAATACTGATACAGGCTGTGTCCCCCCTCTTGAAAAAAGAAAAACTAAAACATTTTTGATTACTATTATCACATATCTCCTATCATGAATAATTCAAGTTTAAACATTTTTGTGATGATATGATAATGATAACTGATAAAAATGATAACTGCTTAAATTTAAGTTAGTAATAATAAAATTGCCATATTTTATTTCTTCTCCAACAGCAGCTGAATCTCATTTTCTCTAAGCGTGATACACATTGCAGTTATGGCGATAAAACATTTATGAAATCTTCAGATAAGAAAAACAAGCCTTGGGTGAAAATTCTTGTTTTTGTTTTAGTCATTTGTTAGCTTGCTAGCTACACATCGGTACGTGCTGTGAGGACAACGCACGTTCACTACACAGGGTAAATTTGTACTTCACAAGTTGTCCCAAATAAACTAAAATTTTACCTCAGATCTGTCATGTTTTGACATTTTGAGAGAGAGAAATAGCTGAAGAGTTGAGTGTATAATACATGTGTGATATGTAAAAGTTGGATCATCATAATGATGTTTTCCAATATTATATTTTAATGCCAGTATTAATGGTAGACTGATAATATTGGGCATCCCAACCTATAATATAATGTTTTATAAACAAGCAATGACACAATGATAAAAATAAATAAAAAAAGGGGAAACGTGGGTTAAGTGTCTTGCCCAAGGACACAACGACAGCAACAGACTGAGCGGGGCTCAAACCTGCAACCTTCCGATTACGGGGCGAGCACTGAACTCCTGTGCCACCGTCGCCCCTAGAGCAGGGGTGCCCAATCCTGGTCCTGGAGGGCCGATATCCAGCAGGTTTTAGTTTTAACCCTTCTTCCACACACCAGAATTCAATCAGCAGGTGATTAACAGGCTTCTGCAGAGCCTGATGAACTGCTGCACAGGTGATTCAACCTCTGAATCAAGTGTGTTAGAGCAGAGAAATCACAAAACCTGCTGGTTACTGGCCCTCCAGGACTAGGATTGGGCACCCCTGGTTTAGAGTATAACAACATGATTTTCCAATATTTATGTTTTCATAAACTCATTTTCCCACACAATGCATTTTTGGGATTTTATTATCTGTAAGCCATAAGCTATAAAATTAGAGAAATAAATGCTTGAAATATTCACCGTATGTCTGATGAATCCATATAATATATGGTTTTCACTTTATGATAAACATTTGAACTTATTCACATTATTCAGCATTTTTTAAGATGTTCCTGTACATCTTCCAGCAGAAAGCAGAAACACAGAATTTGAC